CCTCAGAGCAACGGACAAGAAATGCTGTAAGTGCGGTATGCGGAGATACGGAGTCAGAAATTATTCCTGCATAAACATATGTGACTAGAAGTTGAGCATTTATAGATTTCGATTCTGTTAGCCAAGTGACTGAAATCAGTCTGCAGTCCTTTTTATATTACCGATTGACATTTGGAAACATCCTTGTGGAAGGGATAGTTGTTTCTATCAGCTAAGCCTGCTGTCCATTCACTTCTCGAATGCCACATTAAAAACGGTTGCTTAAATAAATTTTAACAAAAACTGATTCAATAACCGGTAAAAATTGAAAGTCTGAGCCAGTGAGCAATAGGTTTGGAAAGAAATAAGACCGTTAAAGTACTTCGACGATCCAGCGCTATCAAGCAATTCATTAAATCTGCTCATGACTTCTGAATTCAAGCCTTTTCTTTTTGCCGTATCTACACTTTGAATTATTAATTCCTCACTCACTTCTTGAGATTGCAAGTTAAAACAATGCTCGACGAGATGATAACACATCTGTTGCACTTTAATGCACAAGCGAGTTGGAGTGAACGTTCACAACGATGCACCAGACGGATGCGCGAAACCTAGCGCTAAACCTGAAGTGTGGCTTCGAATATCTGACAAAGCTTTTCATTGGCGTGGGCTACGCTGATGATACTGCCATGTTCGAAACCACCGGTGAAAGCCTTGGCTCTTGGGCGAAAATGGCCTGTACAACTGAAGGTAGACGTTTCACAGAATGAAATCTTTCCGCTTCGTTTTTCTGCCATTCGCAGCACGGCACGGTTAAGAGTTTGAGAAATGGTACTCAATCCTACGAAAATTTCACTCCTATAAAGATGAGTTTCGGCTCGAAACGTTTGTAAATTCTAACTGTAATGGCATCAGTTTTGACTTGGGTGACAGAAACGAAACGTTGAAATAAAATGAGATGTCACTGCTGTGATAATGTAAATTTTCGTAGCATCGAAAGAGTTTTGACATATGACATATGATACCATTTGCTCAGAGGAATAAGTACATCAATATGCAAGTTTTGTCTACAATATTTCGCCAGATTTGTCAGACCTTCACTATCCATGTGACCATGTTAGTTCTGTTTCCAAACGTTTTCCATTAAGCAACTTCTGGTTTTACCATCTTTTCGACTTGATTTTCCAATGCACATTTTGGGGATCAATGCGAGCGGGCGGCTCAAAATTCTTCTGTTCAGACTTTTACGTGGCGTGTTTCTCGTATTTATTTTAATGGTACAATTTATGTCAGACCTTGAATACCGCTGCCTCACGAATCGACCATTTTAGGGCTCATGAAGATTTTCATTGATAAGAGAAATTTAGAAAAATGCTCTACACCGCACTTCATCTTGATCGCGATTGTTAGTTTGCTGTAGACTGCTAAAGATGGGTTTGTGGATAGCCAAAATAAAAAGATGGAATTTTTCTTGCCAAATCCCTTCTGAGAAAAAAATAATGGCTTATGGGCAAGACAAAAGGAAACTCCTTGACGATGGATACCGGTAAAGCTGCAAAATATAATCCTCGCTTCATTTGAATGTTGAAGACTTAGAAAATAAGGAAAACTGATAGTGCCGGGACTTGCATATTTGTGTCTCACTTTCCTAAATAAAAGATGACATAACGTGCCATTTTGAACATACAGCAGAGTTACATCAATCTGTCTTTGCGACAGTG